GTATACGTGAAAACCAACGAGTTGACAGAAGAAGCAGCGAAGGCATTGTTCAAGTGAACACAGAGAAGACAGAGGTGATGAAGATGCCCTCTGATAAATAACAACTAAAACCAGTCGCTGTCAGAAGGGAGAATTTTTAGGGAAGTCACTTCCTTCATTCACCTTGACAGCATCGTTTAAATTTCACCTGCCACGGATGAAGATGTCAAAACCAGAGTAGATCGGAAAAGCAAGACTGACCCTCATTAATCCGAAAACAGTGTGGAAATCCACTGCACTCGGCATAAGGGATAAGATCAGGATTTTCAACATTAACTCCAGTTAAGTGCTTATATATGGTTCAGAAACTTGGCACATCACAAAAATAACTTCCAACAGGTTGCTGCAGACCTTTATCAACAGTTGCTTCCAACGACTCCATACTGAAGATTGTATGACTATCTGAGAATGATCAGAAGTGAGGATCCCCCTCAGGGATCAAACAAACCAGGAACTTATTGCTCGTCAGATATGCAGAAGGAAATGGAGACAGATTGTAAAAATAAACTGTGAAGAACATCAAGTGACATTGCTCTTCAGATCGTTGCTGAAGTTGACCCCTAAAGGAGGAATGGAGATATAGACGTCCGATAGTGATATGGGTGAGATGGTGTTGGGGAGTAGATGAAAGTCAATGGGCGATTGTGGATCAAGTCAGGAAAGAGTTCATAGAACAGAATGAAATAGGGATGTGCTGTTGGAGCCCTATGTTCCACTCGAATAATGATAATAATAAACGAAGGTGAATTTTGCTAGTATGAATCTTTAAAAACAGTGAAGTTATGTGAATAGGAAACCATAGAGATCTTGTGTCACGGTTATGACTTCAACATTTCTTAGCCGAAGTTATATACGACTTAGACCGTAGATGCGGATTCTTTCTCTATAGTCATCAGTATGCAATCAGTGTCGAAGATGAACAAAAGCGTAAAGTAGTGTATTCGTTTGAGCACCATTTTAATGCGATTTTTCCAATAGGTGACTGCTTTTCATGATAGGCGCAGTGAACTGATCTAACTAAATAAACCTGTTGAAAATGGTAGTAATATGTACGTTTGATGGTGACCTTATCAACTCTGTTTTTAGCCTACTATTTTGTCTGGATAGGAACTAGAATTTCAATAATCTTACAGAAATCATCTCCAAAATTGATGATTACTCATGAGGTGTTTTATTGTTTGACAGGAGACTTTCTTACTAGTTTTAGGAAAAAAAGTGCACGAAAAAGATGTTCCAGTAGGTGAAGTCTCAGAGCTCAGTAGCGATGCAGAATGGTTGTATGGTAACGTTGGACTGCACCATTGTATGATGCAAGTTCTAATCTCACAGGTGACGTCAGTTCCTTCTGCGATGCGTATTCATCTTGCTGATGACTGCTGATAAGCACAAAACCTAGGTTTAGTGCAACCTACCAGCTGTTTCCCACTGACTGACAGTATATCACTAATTGTACTACCGATCCACACCTTCTATTATGATACTGGATACTTTAATAAAAGAGGTATTTTGAAGAACATACCAACTTGTGTGTTTTATTTTCCACTTATTTTCATTAAAGGTATGAAAAATTCTTATTTGATGTAATTAAGAACACCTAAGAATTCCCAGTATCTTGAAGAAATCAAATTCCTCATTGACAGTGAAGGGGCTCCACCGTGTTCTCTAGTCTTGTGTCAAGTTTCTCTCGAGGCAAAGTCAAAAAATGCCCTTCTCGAAGATTGTATTACAAATCATAAATATCCCAATTATTAATGGAGAGTCGTCAGTAGAAATTACATCCATACACACTACTGAACTTTAAAACATCATACCTTGTATCTAACTAATGATTTACGTTCAGGCGTATATGAGATGTAATATAATATAAGTCGAAACTGCTGAGTATTTTATGATTTATCTAATCACAGAAAAACACGTGCAAGAATCTAAGCAAAACCTTTTACAATCCTTGAAGCTAGTAGAAGTCCCTGCTGGCTTCCAATGAATCCAGCAGAATAAGTGTACAATTTCTCAAATGTGGCACTGTCGTCAAAGCCAACTTTAAACATTGCTACTTGGAACCAAATTCTGCTATCAAGATCCCAAAGACCCTTTATCATTAAATCTAACCAACATTAAGTTTCATTCTTCACTTTTCGTGTCACTCGATTATCATTTCCTTACACATTTGGGATATAAAAACGTCCGCATATAAATGTCACTTCAGGAACACTTGATTATTTTCATCATACCATCACATCGTTATTTTGAGGTTAGTGTGATGTTAGCGTTTACTGTTGTGACTAAAAACGTTTCCTGTTTCTAGTTCAAGTTTTTTTGGAATTATTTCAGGTCGTATGGATGCTCTTTGGTGTTTTAAGTCTTCTAAACTTTATTACACAGGAGGTCAACTCAGTTTATTGTATGAACACAGGTTGAAATAGAGTCTAGTATAATACTGTTCTTCGGATGAACTACTCAGCTTTATAAATTATTCGACTGCACAAGGAAGACAATGGAGGCCATCTTGAATCACTGCGCTACCTGATTTTCTATCCATCACAATGCGTCAAATTTTCCCCAGTTCTTATTGTTTTAACCATTCTTGTGTCCTTGAGTCACGAAATGTACTTAAGCACATTTTTAATCGGCTTTCTTCAAACTACTGGTGTATTATTATTGTTCCCTTGGTTTCCTAGTGGAACATAGGGCTTCAGCTACACGTCTCCACTTGTTTCTGTCCTCTGCTGTACTTTTCACCTGCATCCATGTTAGTCCATACTGTTTCAACTCCTCTTCACACGATCTCCTCCATGTCACCCTTGCACTGACGTCCTACTCGCCACTTCCCTTTCCGCTCCCACTCGAGCTAAAGCCTGACGCGCGATTTCACACAGTGGCCCCCTCAGCGAGTGTTCAATCCGTCTTCACTTTCTCCTGCATATTTGTTGAGCGATTGGTTCTTGTTTTTATGTTCCCATAGTTTCTTGTTGGTTCTTCTTCTTTCCGGCCGGCCATCTGATCTTGAGTATAGAGCGAAGACAGTTGTTGATGAAGGTCTGCAACCTGTTGGGAATATTCTTTGTGACCCGCCAAGTTTCTGATGCATCCGTATAGCAAAACTGACTTGACGTTTGTATTGAAAATCCGAATTTTATTGTTGATGCTGAATGACGAAGATTTCCAAAACTACTGGTGTACATTTCTCGAAATAGACAATGTTATTATTATTGTACCTGCTGAGCATATTGATTTCATATGACCTGTATGGTAATGTCTTGATTTAATCAACATAGATTTCATACTGATGATTCTCGGATCTTTTCATCAACAACTATGAGTCTTGTTAGACTTTATCGAATAAAATTATGTGGTGTATTATGACAAAGTAATACTACGTTGTGGTTTCGTCTAAAATGGCTTCCAAACGAAATAATGTGGGATCGTTGTTTGGTAACTGTAGGACAGAATAGACGTCCCAATGATTCCTCAAAGTCACTTATATCTTCTCCATAGATGCTTCTTTATATTAAGCAGGACTTCGGCTATAACTATAACTTTAACACTGTCTGCATTCATTTTCTTTTGACTAAGCTTTTATGCGACGAATTCTACTACTGCAGTAAGATTAGATTACACGCATTTTTCAGGCTATTAATGATGAAGTAAAAATGAATTCGTGAAACTTTTCCTGTCAAACATAATAAGGATGATTGTGTAAAGAATTCTTTCTTTTTCTGGGAGACAAGAGAAATTGGGGTGGAAATCTCTTCTGTAGAACTGATTATATTCCCTAGCCCTGCACATATAGTGTCTTCCCCATGATTCGATGCATTATTGGAATCTAGGTTCTCAGTCTGATTCCTAAAATCGGTTTGCACGGTTTCTTTGAAATCAAACTGTACAAATAACGCACTAACTAATAGGTTGTTCTGTACTTCTGTGGCTGACTGGACAACAAAATCAATAATAGAATGTATTTCGATCATTTTAACTTGAAAGGCTTCATACTTCTTCTGCTGATGTTGTAACAGTAACTGAACTTGCTCAAAAATAAGGGATTTTTTAACGAATCTGTCGAAAATTGGTAAGATTGCATACAATACTAGTGTGCAGGTGACACAGTGGTAGAACGCCCACCAACCACTCATGTGCTCCGGGATTCGATCCCCGGCCACCGACGCACTCCATTACTTCGCTAAGCCGGTAATAATCCCGGTAAAGAAGGAAGAGTGAACATGAAGCTAGCAAACCCATCCCGTAAAAATAAACACCACTGTTTTGGAAACTTCAAAGCTCTAGCTTGAAGCCACCCTATGTTCCACTGGGAACGTGAAGGAATAAAAAAAACATACAATACTGGATTCAATTAGGAGTTGGGACTGTTTGCACTGAACTGAATAACCCCATCACCGAAATATGTTATAATTGGAATGACACTAGTTTGTAGTTTTATCTATGATATAGTCATTAGCTTGGAAATAATTTAGGCGTGTCGTATGCTTATCAGATTAAGAGCATTCAGCTTTTACGGTTGATACTAATCTATCGTTACACTGCCTCGAAACCGGTTTCAACAATGGGAATTCAATACTCGCTTGACCCATTCAGGTAGGTTCTAGTGAGAAGTCGTGACCAGTAGGGTGCAGTGGGTTGGGTGTGAGGACAAATACTTGCCGAAGGCATTGGCTAGGGGTTGCGCTATGTCGTGAATTGTCAGAAGTTAGAATTCATGGACTGGCCATTGGATTGGGTCCCAGTGGCTTAATGGTCTACGAGCTCATCTTGAAGCTAGAAGGTCCTGGATTCAAACCCCGATGGTAGCGTTCCGATGAAGAGTCCCAAACTAGTCTGACGAAACAGCTGTTCAGTACTCCTAGGTGGGTTTTCCAACGGTTCTATAACCAATGTCAGCTCATGATGAAATGTGAATTTAATACTATGCGATTATTTTTATTGCAAAGATCAAAAAGACCTTGTGATAAATTAAAACAAAACAGCATATATATGTATGTATGTATGTGAATCAATTTATTCAACAATATTTAAGTACATATTAATTCTGTGAATGAATATAAGAATTTGTGAAGATTGTCTGCATAGAATCATCTTAGGATAGTTGTGATTAAACTTCCATTAGTCCACCACGATATTCTTTTATAGGAAACCAACGTTTTCTGTTTGTTCCCCACGATCTACGTGGATATGCTTTATGATAACTGAAATTTATAAAAAATATTCATAGATTATTACTATGAATATAATTCTATTTTTATTTGAAATATGTTTAAAAATACTTTCATAAAGCTGTATACTACTGATGGATTGAGGTGAGTAGTTGTTTACCACTCATACCAACCGATAGTGTTTGCTAGTCTGGTTGAAGTGATCTAGCCATCAAACAGGCGTTTTAATCGTTTGATGGTAGACTCATCAGTTCACCTAAAGTAATTTGTCAGAAATTGGACTATTTGAATAGATTCGGCTGTTTGAACTAAGCCGAAATGAATACACCACTCAGCTGCAGTCAACCGAAACGGATATTCAGTTATTTAATTCAATTTTAGATTTTCCCGTCGATTGACTGGACCGAAGTGCTCGGTCTCAGGTTGAAATATCGGCTTCTTGTGCAGATGCTTCGACAATGTCTGGGCATATAATTAGAAGTTAATTGGTGGGTAGTGACTAGCAGTGGAATCCACGATGCGCATTTTGTTCTATTTGGGACTTGTCAGCTGCATTCCACACTGATTGATGATGTTCTCACCGAGGCTCAAACCCACTATCGATAGTTTCGGTCCATTCAATCGATGGAAGAGTCCAAAATTGAATTAATTAATTAATATATCCGTTGCACAAGGGGTGGCTCTCGTGGTCCAGGTGGTCTGGTGGACATTCAGTGTCTGCGTTACTTCAATCTGGCTGGCAGGTAAGTACTAATGGTTGCTGTGATTGGCATCCAAACCACTCATCTCAATTAATCAGCACTATATGTAGTTCTTTGCAAACATGCTTTCTTTCTTAATTACCATTTATGGTAAGGAAACTGTGATGAAATAATCACTTCGAACTTTGTAAATTTCGAATTAGTTAGTAAAATGTGAACTAATCTGCAAGATGTGATTTTGATTTAGGATATCACAAGTTCGCCAGAAATTGAGTGGTTTGAAATGAGTTAAACTGGGTAAATCACTAGCGTGCTCTGTCGCAAGCGGGAGAAACATCCGTCCGGTTGATGTGAGTGGCATACAACTACTCATCTCTCTAAATCAGTAGTAAATGGCTTTAATGCAAATATGCTCGTTTTCTTGGTTACCATTTGTGGTATCAAGCAGATCAGATATTGTGATCTGATTAAGTTCTGGTTTCCAAGGGAAACTATGATGAAATCTCACCTCCTTGAACTGTGTTGCTTTGTAAATTACGAATTAATTTGAAAATTGTGAATTTGGTTTACAAATAATGGGCAATTTTCTGGGTTTATATAGCAGGATCTTTCATTTTTACCAGAAAAATCCCCAGTTATCTGTAAATATAGGACAAAAGCTAAAATGTTTTGTCTTCTACATATGTTTTAGCTGTTTTCAATGTGCGTACATGGCTCAGACCCCATATGTGTGCATAACCTTAGATATTTATCCCAAGATGTATTTTAAATAATGAAGGCTGTATAAGAATGAATACCATTCATGATCATTTTCGATGATCACTAAAATATGATAGAGAACATCTGTAAATTTAGATGCGGATTATGACTTGGATACATACTTCCTGACGTTTTTATTTAAAGTAGAACTGTGGTGGTGTTATACAGACAATGTGTTCCAACGGAATATAATTCTCACATATTCCAACAGTTCAGTACGGCGTTAGCAACAGAATACTATGTACATCTGAACATTCTTTTTCGTGTCGTATGATGTAAACCGAAATCACACGCGCAGTGACTGGTTAACGAATATAAACTGTAGATATATAAACAGCGGTTTGATTAATGAAAAAGATACTTTGGTTTCCGTGTCTTGCCTTCTGTCGGTACAGAACTATCAGTGATACTTTAGTCATTGTGTATTATATTATTATTGTTTCCTTTAATTCCTAGAGGAACAAAGGGCTTCAGCCAACCGTCTCCATTGCATTCGGTTCTCTGCTAGAGTCTTCACCTGGCTCCATGTCTGCCCACACGTTTTCATCTCCTCTTCACATCACCTCCTCCAAGTCACCCACCCTCGCACTGACGACCAACTCGCCGCTTCCCTTTCGGGTTCCACTCAAGGGCTTGTCTAGTGATGTCACTTCATGGTTTGTTTCCTCAGAGTATGGCCAATCCATCTCCATTTCTTCCTGCCTATTTGTTGCACAATCGGTTCCTGCTGAGTTGATTCGCTCCCAGAGATCCAACTCTGTCACTGATCTTTTCTGGCCATCTGATCTTGAGTATTGAGCGAAGACAACTGTTGATGAAGGTCTGTAGTTTGTCTGAGATGCTCTTTATGACGCGCAGTGCAAGTCTCTGAACCGTATAGTAATTAGCACTGACTTCAGATTGGAGTTGAAAATCCGGATCTTATATTCATTTTCATGCTGAATGCTGTTGACCTCCACACAGACTTGAGAGTAGTGAAAGCTTGTCTTGCTTTCCCGATTCCTGCTTTGATATCCTTATCAGTTCCGTCCGCCTGTAGTTGAAACGATGCTTCTCAGGTCGGTTGGTGAAGGAGGTTGTTTCTTTCAGATTCCTTCCATTTATGCTGACTGCTGTCTGTTGTTATTGCTGTTGGTGGTGTTGCCCAGGAATCTTCATCACCTCTGTTTTCTCTATGTTCACCTGGAGTCCTATCTTTGATGCTTCTTCTGCCAACTTGTTGCTTTTCACTTTCATATCTTCCAGTTTGTGGGAAATCAGACATATATCATCGGCGAATTCTACATCCTCCAAGTTTTTTGTGTGAGTCATTGTGTTCACTCTAAAATAGAATTTACAAGCAAGCCATAGCTGCAGTGAATAGCAGTCACTGTGTTCATTTGTATAGAAAATCTGTTGACTAATAACTTTTATCATCACGTAAGTACCATGGCGCAAACGCAGCAAACAGAGCATCTTTAAAGTAGATTTCTAAATTTCATGAGAATTTGATAACAGTTTATATTAACTGTTTTAGCCAAACAGCTAAGATGATTTACCTACATATTACTCCCTATTAGTATGTTCACTGCCTTGCAATTATAACGCATAACACAATAATAATCTTCACACAATTATTCGGCTTTATGAATCTGAATAAAGCAAGAACAAGGGTTTTGCAGAATAAGACTGAACCGTCGTTTATTTCGTCAGCTTTTCATCATCTGCGTATAGACTAAAGGAATGAATTCAGTTTATGTATGGAACAATTTTAACATACTTGCAAATGTGACATGATATCAGTTGGTTGGAGATTACAAACTTAGTAAATACTGTATTTAATTGGTGGATGGTGACTAGCAGTGGAATCCAGGATGCGCATTTCGTCCTATTTGGGACTCGTCATCTGGATGTACCTGCATTTCTCAGTGAGTGATGATGTTCCCACCGAGGCTCGAACCCAGTGCCCAATCGAGGGGTAAATCTAAAATTCAATTAAATCAATATGACCCGTTGCACAAGAGGTGGCTCTCGTGGCCCAAGTGGTCTAGTGGATAATGCTTTGGCGTTTGAAACTATGGGCACTGGGTTTCAGCCTCGGTGGGAAAATCATCACTCACTGGGAAATGCAGGTACATCCAGTGATGAGTCCCAAATAGGACGAAACGCGCATCCTGGATTCCACTGCTAGTCACCACCCAACAATTAAATTCTAATTAAATGCCCAGACATCGTCGAAGCATCTGCACAAGAAGCCGAGATGTCAACCTGAGACCGAGCACTTCGGTCCAATCAATCGATGGAAAATCTAAAATTCAATTAAATTAGTAAATACTGCTCATGAATTCCACTCATATAACCTATACACAGAAGATTCAAGTTCAAACAAGCCTCAAGGGAACGAACTCCTTGAACAATGCTGCTGTCAGGCATTTCGTTGGTATGGATCATTTGGAAGACACTACTATGAAATCCTTGAAAATTATCAATAGACAAAATAGTTTAGTTCTACTGAAGATTGCCAAAGCAGCTGCTAAGAAAAACACCCGAAACCCGATTTATTTGTTTAGAAAAAAAGCAGTTACCAGTCTTTACACTTGCTCTGGTAACTGGAAATATCTACTGTCTCTTTTATTCGACTACGTAATCACTGGCTTTAGCCTATCCCAATAGTGTGACTCTGCTTGTCTTCTGCTTCTGTGGTTTGAGTTGAACTCACCACATTTATACTCAGCTTATAAGTTACTCATCATTTCTTTTTATTCACCGCTTGCTTTTATCACACAACTACTTCGACATTCTATCCAAGTCTTTATTTTGTGTTTTTACTTGAATTTTTGTGTATCAGCTATATCAGTGATTGCATTGTTTATTAGTTTTGTCTACTGTCAACTAACATCATGTCACATTTTCAAGTATGTTTAAATTTTTCTGCACCTAAACTGAATTCATTTCTCTTTAGGGTTTACTCAGCAGTTGAGAAGCCAAAGAAATAAACGATGGTACCATCTTACTTTGCACAAATCGCTGTTCATGATTTTTTTAAAACAACAATATTATTTAGATGAAGCAATAAGAAGAATTAATTTGTCTACATCGTGTAATGTGTATTTACGCAACACATTTCGAACAATATGATAACACACACGGACTTGTCATAGGAATATATATGAAATTAATAAAGAGGTAAGAGGTGAGAAAATAGACCACTTAGGTCAAGTTAAAAGGACATATTCAAGGTCAAAATAACAATGAAGACCACTAAACCAAATAACAGAGGTAATAGTGCATCTACTATGATATCAAAACAAAATTTACCAAGGATGGTTTAATGTGATGACGAATTGTTTTTGAACGCATAAAGGTGGCTTAAACTTTCTAATTGCTAGGGCTTCCACAAACTTTAGGATACGCCCCAAACACGTTTAATAGATAGGTTTAAAAGATCTGTTAACGTCAATTTTACGTCCTGCCTCTATAATATGTTTCGCAGCTAGGTCTCCTGTTCTCATCATTAATTGCTTCTGAAGATTCCATTTGTTCTTGGAGCCATTTAGGAATATGCTCTGAAGCCCTTACTTGCAGAGATCTATGAGTCCTCCCTATGTATGTGTGCCCACACGTACATTCAAACTGGTAAATACAATGGGATGTGACGTCATTTTTCGCATGTTCGAAGGGCTTAGATAGATATATTGGCTTTACATTCTCTATTATTATGATATTGGCTGCATAAAAAGTCTTTTTGACAGCAGCGTTCAGTCTTTGTCTAGTTATCAAGCTGCTATGATGCCCTATATAGGGTAGCTTGATGTACACGTCATTCTTAGGGGCGAGATATAAAGTAGTCAGAACATCAAGACCCACTCTAAAACTTGCCTTTACCTAAGTCTATTTTCTCACCTCTTAACTCTATTAATTTCATATATATATTCCTATGACAAGTCCGTGTGTGATCAGATTGTTCGAAATGTGTTGCGCGAATACATTACACGATTCAGACAAATTACGTCTTCTTATTGCTTTATCTAAATTCATAAAGGGAACTAATTGTTTTAAACAATATTATTATGTTATTATTATTCCCTTGAGTTCCGAGTGGAACATAAGGATTCAACAACACATGTCCACTGGGTCCACGTTTGACCATAATCTCTCATCTCCTCCTCCAACTCACAAGATCTCCTCCATTTTACCCTCGCACCAACGACCCACACATCGCCGCTTCCCTTTGGTAATCTCCTCAAATGGTGACCAGCATTGCGCGTGATGTTACTCGACAGCCTCTCCCACCTATAACCCATTTCCTCCTACATATTTGTTGAGCGGTCGGCTCTCGTCTGTTGGTTTGCTCCCAGCCAGAGTTTCTTGTTGCTAATTCTTTCTGGCCGGCTGACTGGCCATTTCATTTTCAATATATAGCCAGCGAAGTGGGCAGCTGTTTATGAAAGTCTGCAGCAAGCTGTTGGAAATCCTTTTCGTGACACGCAGTGCAAGCTTCTGACCGGTACAGAAGAAATGACTGACTGATTTCACATTTGCGTTGAAAATCCTAATCTTGTTGTATTTGTTGAGTGCAGTGCAGAAGATGTCCAAACTGATTCCCAGTTAATGAAGGAGTATCTTACCTTTCCCATACTGGCTATCTGACTTTGACATCTTCATCCGTTCTGTTGGCCTGTAGTTGAAACGATACTGTCTGTCTATATAAGCGAAGGAAGTAACCTCTGCTAAAAACACCAACATTAATTAGTTCTTATTTAAAATATTAAAGAATATTGACGTAAGAATAAGAGAAAATATGGCGGACTTACTAGAGTGGGTAATCATCCGATAAAGAATCGGCATTCAATAATCCTTCGGGTATTTCATTATTCAAATGCCCATGAGGATTTGCATCCAATTCCATTATGATTATGCACGCAAACACTTTTAAAAAAAAGCATCATAAATGCAACAGTATTAATGAAACAACCGATATATGGGTATATTTATAAAACACAGGTCATAAGTTCTTGAAATATGAAATTAATTGCATAATAAGAAGATAATTTTAAATCTAATGAAAGAAACAATCATATATACACCCATTTTGTTTATGTGAGTGAGTGTGTGCGTGTATGAGTATCTTTAACTGATGATAATAAATAAAGAGTAACATTCAAGTCCCTTGAAATCATTTCCCCTGATATCTTCGAAAACATAAAACAATTTAAAGGTCATTTTAAAAGTAGAAGAGAAATTATAACTTTTTTTTTTTGCTGCACGCAATATCATGTACACAGAGCAATTTCACTTTCATAACAAGTTGATTGAATTGTAGATTACTTGTAATAATTTTATTTATTCCTTTTATTTACTCAAAGATATAGGTTTGACCTGACCTTATAGGTGAATTCATGAATTCAATAAAGTTAATAAGCCTCTAGGTTAATTTGAATATTTTGTTGTTGATTAATTATACAGAATGGAAGTGATAAGTCTACGTTGACATACCAGCCCCTAGGACAAACGCTTCGACAATATATTAGGATTAACATCAAGTTATCTTTCATTGATGGTAACAGGCAGTGCCAACCAAGGTGAGCATTTCATTGCCAGCCGGATGTGTCCAAGATTCCCAGTGAGTGATGATTCTGTTCCCACTGAAACTCGGAATCAACACCTATCGTTTCAAATACCAAAGCATTATCCATCGCTAGGTTACTAGGGTCAACAGACTCACTTGTTGTATTTTTTATTCCTTCACGTTCCCAGTGGAACATAGAGCTTCAAGCTAGTGGCCTGAAGTTTCTGTAGCAGTGTTTATTTTCACAGGATGAGGTTGGTAGCCTCATGTCAAACCTTTCCTCTTTACCAGCATTATTTCTGGCTTAGTGACGTAAAGGAGTGCGTCGGCCGAGGATCGAACCCCGGACCATGTGCATAGTCAGCGAGCGTGCTAACCGCCATGCCACCGACGCACCACTTGTTGTATGGTGGGTTATAATTTTTTGGGTTAATTTGAATTCCCCGCGTAGGCCTCAAGATTATTCTATCCATTAGAAGTACGAGAATTTCATGAAAAGAATTGATTTATTACTTCGTAAATCCCTAAGTTTTATTTATCACAGTTTAAATTTTCATACTATGCAATATTCAAAAGAAAACAAGTTAGCAATTTTCACGTGGTTGTGTTATTTGAGATGGATGATTTTATTGGGAAGCTTTCATTGTCTGCCTAGACAGCATCTTCAGTGCAAGCTATAGTACAAAGTGAACTTATTTAAATTCTCCATGAATGGCTATGTAATTGCATCTCCTGAAAACCATTATTGTGATTAGTTGTTAATTTACACTGGTCATTTTTATTGACTTGGAACTTGAACTTTCTTGTCTTGTGATTTATGTTTCATTACTTGGTAAATTTAACCTGTTGTAATATATTTGTTAATCGTTGATTCGTCTGATTACCAGGCTTCTAGAAATTCCTTGATACTTTTGGTCCTTCCTCTGTTTAAAATTTCTACATTCTCCCAATCGAACTGGTGTCCGTAACTGTATGCGTGCATCAGTGTGAAAGAATATACATCGTGTCTTTGCATACCTAAATTCCACTCTTGGACACTGATTCGATTGGGAGAATGTAGAAATTTTAAACAGATGAAAGACCAAAAGTGCCAAGGAACGTAAAGTTCAGACCCATTGCCATCACTTCCCCGTTTCTATAGCTTATGGAAAAACTAGTACTTCTTGAACTTGAACACTCCCTTAAAAGTTTTGAAAACCCCAAACAGTTTGCCTATAGACAGGGTAGGAGCACTTTAGACGCTGCAGCCGTCTTACACAACAACATCGTCTCATCATTAGATAAAGGTGTCAAATACGTCCGCTGCACGTTTCTCGACTTCACTTCTGCTTTCGACTCTGTACCTAGATGTCTCTTGCTAAATAAGCTCTCTATGACACAAACTGAGTCCTGGGTCACTAACTGGTTGCATTCCTACTTCTCTAACAGAATGCAGTACACTGTATACAAAGGTAAATCCTCCTCTGCTGTGCTCACTGAAGCTGGTGTCCCCCAAGGTGCTGTACTCTCCCCACTTCTCTTTTCTTTCTCTCTACATGACTTACCATCTTCAAATGACATTAATTTTGTTAAATATGCTGACGACCTGACTGTATCTTTGCCTGTCAAATGTCAAAGTGACTGCTCCAAACTAAATGGCTTTTTATCAGAAATCAGCCAGTGGTCCAAGGAAAATGGTCTAACCTTAAATCCCTCTAAATGTCAAACAGTCAATTTCACCTTTAGGCATAAATCTGACCTAAACAAACTGGTTAGCTTTCACGAGGTGTGCAACATAGATGGCACTGAAATAGAAACCAAGTCGGAAATTAAATACCTAGGCGTCATTCTATCTGCTGATCTTTCCTGGTCGTCTCATATCTTAGCGATTTCTAAGAAAATATTCCGTCTTACCTTCTACATCAAGAAGTTAAGACATTCTGGTATAACCCAACCCTTACTCCTCCAATTCGTTAACTTTCGCATTCTGCCTATTATTCTCTATTGTTCCCCCTTAGTTTTTCCCGGGCTACTGAAGAAAGACTATAACATATTACGCAGGATGTTAAAGGTTGTCAGCAGGGTAAGCAACGTGCCACTTAACCAGCTTGTTAATATTCTGGTCGACAGGCACATGGACTCATGTGAAAAATGGGCCAAATCCATTTTATCTAACTCACACCACCCTCTTCACTCACAACTCTCCCCTTGCATCTCATCAGGCAAAACCAGAAGCCTATATAGGAAACTATATGCTCGCACTAGCAAGTACAAAAACTCAACCATACCCTACTTAGCTCGTGTTCTGTGCGATAAAGAAAGCATTAGGCGTGACACCTATAATTCATTAAATAGTCAGTAGTACAACTGGATCTCGTCTTTCCAACTCATATCATTTATAGGTACAACATTTTCTTTCTTTCTTTTCCTTTTCTCTTCTCTCTTTTTCTGTTATGTGCTGCTTTGTTTCTTTCTCCCGCTTACGCCAGTAAATATGATAGCTCCTACTTTTCTAACACCTTCAAACACTGTTCAACTTTGGCTTTGCTACCGACATGCCAATATGTTGTTGTCATAATGAACTGAGATTTCCTTAATCTATGTAGAATTCTATTTATTGATAATGTACTAACTGGATGCAATACTGTAGTAAAAAATGCTGAGAATTCCATTCTGTATCACAAGTACTGTTTTGGAATAAAGCAAATTATTATTATTATTAAGGGATTACTAGAAGCCTGGTAACCAATCGAACCAGCAATTAACAAATATATTACTGCAGGTTAAATTTACCAAGTACTGAAACATAAATCACAAGAAAGTTCAAGTTCCAATTTAATAAAAATGATCAATATACATTTACAACTAATCAAAACAACGGTTGTCATGAGATACAATTATATCATTCATGGATAATTTGAATAAGTTCACTTTATTTTCTATAGTTGGTTTGTAAGGATTAGATTTGTTTTTGCGAGTTGATCATGGATTGATGTCAGTTAGATAACCATTTGAAACCCGCCAGGGAGTACTGGACAGCTGTTTCATCCTAGTTTTGGAATCACCGACAGTACGCACTCACCTTAGAGGGTTCGAACCCAGGACCTTCCGGTTACAAGGCAAGCTCCTATACCATTCGACCACTGGGACCCGCTTCAGTAGCCAGCCCATGAATTCTAACTTCTACCAGTTGTGATGCACTTAGCGCGACCACCAACCAATGTCATCATTGGGACATGAAACAACTGTCCTGTACTCCCTGGTGGGTTTTCAGTGGTTCTCTAACTGATATCAATCCGTGATCAACTCATGGAAAGTTCACTTTATATATTAAAGCTTGAGCTGAAGATGTTATCTAGGCGGACAATGAAAGATTCCCAGTTAAATCAACCATAACCAACATAATCAACATAACCCAAATGAAATTTATTCACCTGAGTTACAAATCTTCATTATATTTTTAACAATAAATATTGCCCTGGATTAGATCTCCTCAGGCTTTACTCTAATATAAACAAATTGATAAGGAAAATATCAATTATAAATGAGGCATGTTGATTTGTTAATAGAATGATAAGCTTGTTATAAATTGTGCTTTCGTCTATATCATTTGTTAATCATAACTGTATTAGCTGGAGGAAGAAATAAGGTGTACACTGAACGCATTTGTAGATTGATAAATGTTTAGTTAGTTTACGCATTATCAGAAGGCTTAATTCATCACTATGTTTTTATCGTGTCTTAGAAATTTAGAAACATTAATTATTTTTACGCATGGTTTAACTTTTCATCACCATTCTTGTTTTTGGAAAGTCGTTTTATGCCCCTTTTCATTTACAAAATCACTACTACTACTACTAATAACCTCTTTCACATAATTTATCAAGACAAAAGTTTTGATGTAATACAATTTAGTGCGATTTTCCTTTTTCTGCTTAATCAGCACTGAATATGAATAGGATTTCAGAGAAAAAAATTAAGCGTTCATTCAAATCTTTTTGTTAGTTGTTTCTGATTGGCAACAGGATTTATAATTAGGATAAAAAAAACAATAGAATGTATTTGCAAAAAATATTTTTAGGACTCCAGAATATTCCTTGATTTGATTGGTTGGAGGATTTCATCATGAGCTGACATCAGTTAGACAACCATTGGAAATCCTAGGAGTACTGAATAGCCAGCTGTTTCGTCAAACTAGTTTGGGACTCTCCATCAGTACGCATTCACCACCAGGGTTCGAACCCACGACCTCCTGGTTACAAGGTGAGCTGACTCGTAGACCATTGGGCTACTGGGACCCGATCCAATGGCCATCTCATGAATTCCAGCTTCTGTCAATTCACTGCATAGCGCGACAACTTCACAATATCTTCTTCGATGA